CAAGTTACAAGACCCTTGCACCCCTAACCCTTTAGGGGAAAAAAACCCAGGAATGTTCAAACTTGACAGTTTTAAGACTTTAAGATTTAGATAGGACTCTTAGAGGCGGGCAGGGCGGTTGGTGAGCCAGCCAATCAGTGAGCAGTGGGTGGGGCAAGCGTGCGGATCGGCGGTGGGGGGGGGGGGAAGGCTGGAACCGGTTCTAAATGGCACAGTAGATTTGTGGAACCTCTTCTATACAAAAGGTTAGAACTGGCAGGAACCCACCCCTGGTATAATCATTTGTGAAGTATTCACAGCTTAACTGTTTACATGAACACAGTATCAAAATCTAGAGTATCTTGACAACGCTGAAGAGTCTAAATTTGTCCTTACAAATTTAAAAATAGCCAAATGTTTTGTATCTGAGATGCTAAGCATTCAGTTATTCCTGTATTCATGTATTGTGATCCTCCCTATTAATTTTTAAAGACAAGAGAAACAAAATAATAATTAGCTCACTTTAACATCCATTAAAAACCAAAGCAAATAAAAATACATTAATTGTCCAAGCAGTACAGCAAGCATTTTAACTCATTTCTGAAGACAGCTCCATAGGTTAAGAGAGAGAGAGAGAGAGGGAGGGAGGGAGAGAGAGAGAGAGAGAGAGAGAGAGAAGACTTATCTTGTGTTTCCATCAATAATGGTAATGTTGGCCAACAAATAGGAGGCACCTTTCTCAGGGACTGCACACAAACTCTGAAAGTCCCTGATTCAAAACAACAGACTGACCTTCCTCTGTAAAGATGTTTATACAATAGCATTTTATTTAGTTATTTTTGCTTGCTCTTGTTAAATAATTTTGTAGCTGATTTTAGACTTTTACTGTTAGCCAATCTGAGTGGTATTTACAATGGTGTGTGTGTGTTACACATGTATTATAATGACATAGTTTTGTATTTAAATAGAATAAAAAAGCATTTTTTTACAACTTTGTCCATGGCACTTCAAAGGTTCTCACTGAAGCAATGGTGGTCTTTATTAATATGCCATACAGTACCTACTGATATCTGATATTTTACAATACAACATTGACAATGAGACATTTAGTGTGCAATGATAAACTATTTTTAAAATTTTCACCAAGTTCTTACAAGTCATGTTACAAATTTGCCTTAACTGTAGACAATAGAGCACATGGGCAATCAAATATTGATTGAAGCTTATGTATCTTACTATCCCTACTTTTTTCCTGTTTCCTCCAATACAAACTGAAGACATTTCCTGCCCTGTTTTTAGAAAAGTTACTGAAAACTGTATGAATAGCTGAGAGTTCTTATATTACATTATATCTTTCATACAATATCATTTTCAACTGGAAAAACCTCAACAATAGAATCTTTAAGAAAAATTATAAGAAAAAATACTTATTATTTCTTTACAGGTTTTACCTCTCTATGTTTATTTTATTTTTTTGTTCAGACAGCTGACATCTGAACACACATCTCATGTTCCCCATTTCTCATGCACATCACTGTACCTGCTGTGGTCGGTCTAATCGCATGCGCTTTGCAGCATTCCTGCTTTCACTTTCACAGGCAGAAGCTAGGATACTCTCAGCTACTGCAGAAGTAAGATGGGAGGGAATGGGTCTTGACTATGGAAAAGAAAGAGAGAGATAATATAAAAAGATTATTCATAATAATGTGGACAAGCAATCAATAGGCAACTACTTAAAATTACAAAAAGTAGAAATAAGGACTGTCAAAACTGAAAAGTGAAAATTAGAGATTACACCTGCAATTCATCTACAGATCCTCAGATATTAGATTCTCTTTGCATATTTCCATGTGGACTCTCATACATAACTATAGAGACAATGCATTTTGAAGAGGCTTCTGTGATATACAACATTTCATTAACACTGATGAAATAATAGCTAAAATATTGATTTTTTATGCAAAACTCCCTAATTTCTTAGTCTGGCCATTAATGAAATGGCACGCCCTCCCAACTCTATTAATTCAGTGCAATACATGGATAACAATGCTGACTCACTGTTGTTGTAAGGATTACAATTAGATAATGAGTACAAAGGACTTAAAACAAATGAGTTATACAAATGTTAAGTAATCAATAAGTATTATTGAAATATAACTCAAGGTTTAATAATATTAATAATAATACTACTACAATAATGTATGTTTTACTGCTATGTCCTTATGCTTTTTTCTTTAACTAGTTTTGCAAATGAAAATCTTCAAAATATGGGACAGCCACAATCTTTAAGCAATTTAATTTTGTTGAAGAAGTATATAAAAACTGTATACAGATTTATCCAATGGGTTGTAAACTTTCTTTAAAGAATAATAAAAAGGTGTTTGTAACACTTTTTATTACAATGCCAAACTGTAATCCTACTATAGTAGATGTCTTAACCCTTTAAGTATTCAAAAGCTGCAAATTACTAGTTCAGATAAGAGTCATTAACATTTTTATAAAATCAAATATTAATGGAATGCTATTTTTGTCATTAATGAAATTCATTTATTTTAATTAATTTATTTTACTCATGTATTCATTTTTCAAAAGACCACCCAATTGAATACCTATACAAACAAAATATAGGTAATATTTTTGCTCCCAAGGGTTAATTTGGAATCAAATAATAAGTTGAGTGTAAGACACATAAACATGCACATATATCAAGAGAATCGGTAGTACTGCTAAGTGACAAGCCTCATTCTCACCCTTCTAACAATCTTGCTACAGACAAGTCAACATGCCACTCAAGTATTAAGTAAGCCAGTGATGTGTGGTGAGCTTCATGGCCGATGAGGCAAGTACGAAAGCCCCGCTGACTTCAACTCCCAGAATTCCTCCTCCAGTCATGTTGCAATGATGTCATCTTCATGGATCTGCTCCACTTTGCTTTATCCACAGGGGGGGAGAGCTGCCGCTGAAGATGCCAACGAGCCCCCGCTGCCACCAGAATAACTGCTGCTGCCTCCTCCTCCTTCTCCAACAGCACCACCACATTTGCTGCCTGGCACTGCGGCCTTTTTTCCTGCTCCCGCTCTCTCCCGCGGACTCATGGCTACGCAGAGCCCAGCTCAGGTGCTCCGAGCGAAGGGGGAGACGCCACTGCCACGGGCAGGGGTGCTGGTGGACCTTTGCCAGCTTCACCTCAGCTGCAGAGTCGGGCGGCAAATCCAGCAGTGCTGTTGGAGGAGGAGGAGGTGGCAGCAGATATTCCAGTGGCAGCGGGGGCTTTGGGGCTTCACTTCAGCCGCAGTGCCGGGCGCAAGCAGCTAAGACTGGCCACCCACAAAGGACCTCCCCGGGCTTGCTTTGCTGAACACGGGGCGACTGAGGCTAGTTTGAGCCGGCGCAAACTACCGTCAGTCGCCCCGCACTCA